TTGATCATTATAGTTAATGCTGTAGGATGAAATCTGTGATAGATAAAGAAAGATAAAAAATATAAAAAACAAAGTTTACTTCACTTACCAGCGACGAAGTTGAGCACGTGGAAAATCTTGTCTCCTGAGCCAGCGTTTTTCTTTGTCAGCGTCGTTGGCTAGTTGCCATGCCAATGCTACGTCATGGTGGAGACATGTGTGATAACGATGCTAACTGCGCATATTCATTCACACGAGATCATACGATTGGATACTGTTCAGATTCGAAAACCCACATCAAAGAACAAGTTCAAGAATCCTTGTATATATACTGTGGTTTTTCATTACAATTGATATTTGATGTGATCTGTCTTTGTTGCTACTAAAATTTTAATAGGGCAGGAATGGTGAATTACAGGGGGGGACAGTTTGCAATTGCAGGGGGTGTAGTTGTTTGGGTTGTATTTAGACCTTCAAATCAAGTGATAGTGTTACTTACGGACTTACAAACCGATAACAAAGTGGTTACCCGTCTTATAGACGGAGTAACCACAAAAATGTATGTGATGCTTTTTAGAAAATAAATCAGAATTCATGCTAAATTTAGTTAAAGATTTATAAAGAATATGAACATGGTATATAAATTTCTTAACACACAAAAGTTAAGTGTCTTTTTTTGTAGCAGCAATCAGCAGCAATCAGACTTCTTGTTTGTGCTGATTGCCACTCATGGCTTTAAAGACTGACTACTCGGKCGGCTAGTGCTTTCTCACGTGACTTCTTGTGCTAATGATGACTCGGCAGAATCCCAATCAAACTTCAACTTACAGGTAAGTCTCGTTTAATTTTTGATTCTGCCTCGTCATCACGCACTGCAAAGTCACGTGAGATTTCARAGCAACTGATTGCACACGAATGAATAAACATTCATTTACATAACTTGTKTGTTTAATCTAACAACATTATAAAGTTACACGTTAATTGACAAAACACTGTGAGAAAAAGTCTGTTCTGTCTCGATGTGTTTATCATAAAACTTTGCAAAAGTTGCAGCTGAACTCCACCCTGCTGTATTCATAATCTCAAGTAGGGAAGCTTTGTTTGCCTTAGCCTTAGATGTAGCTGCTGCTCTAACACTATGAGGTTTGTACACATTAACGTCAACCCCAGCATTCATCATAACTTGATGAATCCATCGTCTGATTGTGTCTCTACTTGCATTCTTGTGAGGTTTCTGGTATGTGAGAAAAAGTTTGGTTTCCTCACCTCTAACTGAACTTGTCTTGTCTAAATAAATGGAACATGTGTGAACAACACAAAGTTTCTTGTCTTGA